CAATGCCTGCACTTTAAAGGAGGGGTTTGGGATATTGGCAGTTTGGAGGGATATGTTGTGTATCTCTATATGTGTATGCTTCTGAACTGTTATATTCTGAGCACCTCTGCAAAAGCAGTGATAATGTGTGAGTGTGGTGAAAGTGTTGAATGATGATGAAAGTATTTTCTTTTTGGGGATTTTCTTTCTTTTTTTTTGGGTCACCCTGCCTCGGTGGGAGACGACCGACTTGTTGAAAAAAAAAAAAAAAATATATATATATATATACAGATGACTGTGAAACAGAAACCTGTAACTGTTTTGCAGGATGGTAGGATTGCTGGTTTCTTTTTCTGTCTCATAAACACGCTAGATAACAGGGATATCTTGCTACTCCTACTTACACTTTGGTCACACTTCACAGACACGCACATGCATATATATATACATACATCTAGGTTTTTCTCCTTTTTCTAAATAGTTCTTGTTCCTCTTTATTTCTTCTATTGTCCATGGGGAAGTGGAAAAGAATCTTTCCTCCGTAAGCCATGCGTGTCGTATGAGGCGACTAAAATGCCGGGAGCAATGGGCTAGTAACCCCTTCTCCTGTAGACATTTACTAAAAAAGAGAAGAAGAAAAACTTTATAAAACTGGGATGCTTAAATGTGCGTGGATGTAGTGCGGATGAAAAGAAACAGATGATGCTGATGTTATGAATGAAAAGAAGTTGGATGTCCTGGCCCTAAGCGAAACAAAGCTGAAGGGGTAGGGAGTTTCGGTGGGGGGAAATAAATGGGATTAAATCTGGAGTATCTGAGAGAGTTAGAGCAAAGGAAGGATAGCAGTAATGTTGAATGATCAGTTATGGAAGGAGAAAAGAGAATATGAATGTGTAAATTCAAGAATTATGTGGATTAAAGTAAAGGTTGGATGCGAGAAGTGGGTCATAATAGCGTGTATGCACCTGGAGAAGAGTGGAATGCAGAGGAGAGAGAGAGATTTTGGGAGATGTTAAGTGAATGTATAGGAGCCTTTGAACCAAGTGAGAGAGTAATTGTGGTAGGGGACCTGAATGCTAAAGTAGGAGAAACTTTTAGAGAGGGTGTGGTAGGTAAGTTTGGGGTGCCAGGTTGGTAAATGATAATGGGAGCCCATTGATTGAACTTTGTATAGAAAGGGGTTTAGTTATAGGTAATACAAATTTTAAGAAAAAGAGGATAAATAAGTATACAAGATATGATGTAGGGCGAAATGACAGTAGTTTGTTGGATTATGTATTGGTAGATAAAAAACTGTTGAGTAGACTTCAGGATGTACATGTTTATAGAGGGGCCACAGATATATCAGATCACTTCTAGTTGTAGCTACACTGAGAGTAAAAAGGTAGATGGGATACAAGGAGAATAGAAGCATCAGGGAAGAGAGAGGTGAAGGTTTATAAACTAAAAGAGGAGGCAGTTAGGGTAAGATATAAACAGCTATTGGAGGATAGATGGGCTATGAGAGCATAGGCAATGGGATCGAAGAGGTATGGGGTAGGTTTAAAAATGTAGTGTTAGAGTGTTCAGCAGAAGTTTGTGTTACAGGAAAGTGGGTGCGGGAGGGAAGAGGAGCGATTGGTGGAATGAGATGTGAAGAGAGTAGTAAGGGAGAAAAAGTTAGCATATGAGAAGTTTTTACAAAGTAGAAGTGATGCAAGAGGGAAGAGTGTATGGAGAAAAAGAGAGAGGTTAAGGAGTGGTGAAGCAGTGTAAAAAGAGAGCAAATGAGAGAGTGGGTGAGATGTTATCAACAAATTTTGTTGAAAATAAGAAAAAGTTTTGGAGTGAGATTAACAAGTTAAGAAAGCCTAGAGAACAAATGGATTTGTCAGTTAAAAATAGGAGAGGAGAGTTATTAAATGGAGAGTTAGAGGTATTGGGAAGATGGAGGGAATATTTTGAGGAATTGTTAAATGTTGATGAAGATAGAGAAGCTGTGATTTCGTGTATAGGGCAAGGAGGAACAACATCTTGTAGGAGTGAGGAAGAGCCAGTTGTGAGTGTGGGGGAAGTTCGTGAGGCAGTAGGTAAAATGAAAGGGGGTAAGGCAGCCGGGATTGATGGGATAAAGATAGAAATGTTAAAAGCAGGTGGGGATGTAGTTTTGGAGTGAACCATACCCCCGGCCGGGATTGAACCCGCGGTCATAGAGTCTCAAAACTCCAGCCCGTCGCGTTAGCCACTAGACCAGCTAGCCACAATAAGATTCATCCAACTAGGTATATTTCTACACCATAGGAAAGTTAGCACAGGCACCTCTGTGACCACAAATGCAAGTTTTTACAGACGAATCTCCAGCTAGCGTGGCCGTGACGAACTCTAGCTCAAGTCCCTTCACTGCCGTCAACATGACTTAAGATTTGCAATCCTGTCATTACGATTTCTTAAGTCAAGTTTAGTTTTGGAGTGGTTGGTGCAATTATTTAATAAATGTATGGAAGAGGGTAACGTACCTAGTGATTGGCAGAGAGCATGCATAGTTCCTTTGTATAAAGGGAAAGGGGATAAAAGAGAGTGCAAAAATTATAGGGGGATAAGTCTGTTGAGTGTACCTGGTAAAGTGTATGGTAGAGTTATAATTGAAAGAATTAAGAGTAAGACGGAGAATAGGATAGCAGATGAACAAGGAGGCTTTAGGAAAGGTAGGGGGTGTGTGGACCAGGTGTTTACAGTGAAACATATAAGTGAACAGTATTTAGATAAGGCTAAAGAGGTCTTTGTGGCATTTTATGGATTTGGAAAAGGCGTATGACAGGGTGGATAGGGGGGCAATGTGGCAGATGTTGCAAGTGTATGGTGTAGGAGGTAGGTTACTGAAAGCAGTGAAGATGTTTTTACGAGGATAGTGAGGCTCAAGTTAGAGTATGTAGGAAAGAGGGAAATTTTTTCCCAGTAAAAGTAGGCCTTAGACAAGGATGTGTGATGTCACCGTGGTTGTTTAATATATTATAGATGGGGTTGTAAGAGAAGTAAATGCGAGGGTCTTGGCAAGAGGCGTGGAGTTAAAAGATAAAGAATCACACACAAAGTGGGAGTTGTCACAGCTGCTCTTTGCTGATGAACACTGTGCTTTTGGGAGATTCTGAAGAGAAGCTGCAGAGATTGGTGGATGAATTTGGTAGGGTGGTGCAATAGAAGAAATTAAAGGTGAATACAGGAAGAGTAAGGTTATGAGGATAACAAAAAGATTAGGTGATGAAGATTGAATATCAGATTGGAGGGAGAGAGTATGGAGGAGGTGAACGTATTCAGATATTTGGGAGTGGACGTGTCAGCGGATGGTCTATGAAAGATGAGGTGAATCATAGAATTGATGAGGAAAAAGAGTGAGTGGTGCACTTAGGAGTCTGTGGAGACAAAGAACTTTGTCCTTGGAGGCAAAGAGGGGAATGTATGAGAGTATAGTTTTACCACGCTCTTATATGGGTGTGAAGCGTGGGTGATGAATGTTGCAGCGAGGAGAAGGCTGGAGGCAGTGGAGATGTCATGTCTGAGGGCAATGTGTGGTGTGAATATAATGCAGGGAATTCGTAGTTTGGAAGTTAGGAGGAGGTGCGGGATTACCAAAACTGTTGTCCAGAGGGCTGAGGAAGGGTTGTTGAGGTGGTTCGGACATGTAGAGAGAATGGAGCGAAACAGAATGACTTCAAGAGTGTATCAGTCTGTAGTGGAAGGAAGGCGGGGTAGGGGTCGGCCTAGGAAGGGTTGGAGGGAGGGGGTAAAGGAGGTTTTGTGTGCGAGGGGCTTAGACTTCCAGCAGGCATGCGTGAGCGTGTTTGATAGGAGTGAATGGAGACAAATGGTTTTTAATACTTGACGTGCTGTTGGAGTGTGAGCAAAGTAACATTTATGAAGGGATTCAGGGAAACCGGCAGGCCGGACTTGAGTCCTGGAGATGGGAAGTACAGTGCCTGCGCTCTGAAGGAGGGGTGTTAATGTTGCAGTTTAAAAACTGTAGTGTAAAGCACCCTTCTGGCAAGACAGTGATGGAGTGAATGATGGTGAAAGTTTTTCTTTTTCGGGCCACCCTGCCTTGGTGGGAATCGGCCAGTGTGATAATAAAAAAAATAAATAAGTCCTCACTTAACGTTGTTTCATTCAGCTTTGTTTCATTATAACGTTGATGAAAAAAAAAATTGATTCTTGGCTGAGGCCACTGTGTGTGGAGTTGGTACATTCATTGATGAACTGTATGGTGGTAGGAAGTGCTCCTTAAAATTTTCACTTTGCAAACATTTATTCCTTGATTTAGCCCTGTTGCAATGAGTGGTAAAGGTGCACTGTGCACTCTTAAAGTTTATATTAGTTAGCCTATGGTTAAATTGGTTTTGTTGCACACTGTTTTGCCAAAAGTCGCAGTTTCCAGGAACCTGTTTAGGGTGTTAAGTGAGGTCTTACTGTACAGTTTATGTATTTTGCTTATCCTGGAAACTAGAAAATTAATCTATCAGGCTAAACTAAAAAATACCAACATTCTGCTCAAAACTTACACTATATATTATTTTATAAATTTGTTATGGCTGTTTGTGAGACCAATTTTTAGTCTAAAACTTTAAAATGTTAAGAAAAAAATAAGTTTAATTCAAACAGTTATTTTTTACAATTCTTTACTCTGGTATGTGCCCTGGCTCAGCAGAATAACTTATGAGAATTTTTATTGATCCCCTTGTTATAAAAGGAAAATAAATCCTATTTTCAGTGGGAACTAGCCCCCCTTCCTCTTACATACCATAATCTGAGTCTCACACTCTACATAAAAACTCTTCATTGCTGTTATTAGTTTATCTCCTATACCATACATTTGTAACATATGCTTTGTGATTTCCCCATCCACCCAATATTGCTGTTATTATTGTTGTTATTATTATTATTATTATTTTGTATTGTTATTATTATTATTACATATTATTATTACATATTACATTATTATTATTATTATTATTATTATTTTGATATTGAATGATTTTTAATTTCCATAGTTACTCGAGGTCACGCTCTCGGTCAAAATCTCGATCCAGAAGAAAGCGAGACCCCACATCAGACCTCAGAGACAAGGTAAAGCATTGCTCATGTAAAACAGGCTAAGCTATATTCAGGAAATGTACAAATAATTTTTCAGCAGTTTAAATTTTTAAAATAGTTTAAAAGGCACATAAATATAGTAGGCATATATTTGTGATATACAGTGGACCCCCGGTTAACGATATTTTTTCATTCCAGAAGTATGTTCAGGTGCCAGTACTGACCGAATTTGTTCCCATAAGGAATATTGTGAAGTAGATTAGTCCATTTCAGACCCCCAAACATACACGTACAAATGCACTTACATAAATACACTTACATAATTGGTCGCATTGGGAGGTGATCGTTAAGCGGGGGTCCACTGTATTACAGGTATATAGATGTAAACTATGATAACCTGATAAAGCAAAACATTGTAATATCTGTTACAATATTTCATATACTGTAATCTGTACTTGGGTCTAAAATAATTTGTGTTCATCATTCCTTCAGTTCTAATAAGATCCTGTAAATGGACAGAGGAGCAGTAGGAGAGAATGTAGAGTTTAATTACCTGTTTGTATAAAATACTTGTAGCTACAGGAACAGTGATATACTCGTGATATCCAATTTTTGGTATTTAACTTATTAAAGTTTGTTAATTATTATGCATGTTCACAATTTTGTCTACTTAAGATACTCCATGAAATAATCTGCCAAAAAAGCAAATAGACAAATAGACAAATTGAGGACTTGATGTACTGTTAGAGTGTAAGCAAGGTAACATTTATGAAGGGATTCAGGGTAACCGGCAGGCCGGACTTGAGTCCTGGAGATGGGAAGTACAGTGCCGGCACTCTGAAGGAAGGGTGTTAATGTTGCAGAATTATAACTGTAGTGTAAGCACGCCTCTGGCAAGAGAGTGATGGAGTGAATGATGATGAAAGTTTTTCTTTTTTGGGCTACCCTGCCTTGGTGGGAAATGGCTAATGTGTTAATAAAAAAAAAAGTTGAGACTATAGTGGGTGAAAATTTGAATAATGTAGATATAAAAGGAAGAAGAGTGGTTAAATATCGTTTTCTCATACCACTCTTATTCTGAATTCCAGGTAACAAGAAAGCGTCTGCTAGAGATTGCTCGTCGCAATGCAGTGTATCTGATGCAAAATGGTTGTCTGCCTCCGAGTGTAGAACAAGAACAGCTAGTCAAAATCAAGGCTGGTGGCAAGAGCGTTGATGAGCTTACAGGTCATATTAATATACAGTTTCTCTGAAAATAGAATGTTTTCCAAAATTTAATTATTAAGATTTCTCATAGATTGTGTAATTTTTTGTATTAATACAATGTAAAGAAACATGCATGTAACTTATGGTAGATTATGCCTGGCTTGACACATTTTAACTATAACTTTTATTATAATTAGATGATTTAAATAAGGCATATCCTAAAAGGTAAAAAGCAAGAGTAGAGGTTGTAAGTACTTGGTTTGCAAATGTGTTTACTAAGGGCCATAAATGGCAGTGCTAGTACAAGCAGCCCCACTTATACAGCAGCTTAGGTTCTGGGCTGTTGCTATAAAGTGAAAATTGCTTTGAAGGGAAACACAACCTTTTTTCACTTTCAAATGCATATAAAAGCCTGTAACATGTTTACAATCATATATTATGTAAACAATAGAGGTAGGTCTAAAAACTGCATATACAGTACACACATTACTTTTTTTTTTTTTTTTTTTTTTTTGAAGAAGTCGGCCGTCTCCCACCGAGGCAGGGTGACCCAAAAAGAAAGAAAATCCCCAAGAAGAAAATTCTTTCATCATCATTCAACACTTTTGCCTCACTCACACATAATCACTGTTTTTGCAGAGGTGCTCAGAACACAACAGTTTAGAAGCATATACAGTGGACTCCCGCATAACGATTTTAATCCGTGCAAGAGGGGTAATTGTTATGTGAAATAATCGGTATGTGAATGAATTTTCCCCATAAGAAATAATGGAAATAAAATTAATCCGTGCAAGACACCCAAAAGTATGAAAAAAAAAATTTTTTACCACATGAAATATACATTTTCCCACACACAAAGAGAAGGATACATGCACAATAGTAGAGTAGTACATGCACAGTATATATTGTGCATGTACTAGTCTACTAAATGAAGAATAAATGACACTTACCTTTATTGAAGATGCAGCAATGACTGATGAGACACTGTGTCCTGGGAGTGCCTTTTCCTCCTGAGTACTGTAGGTCCTGTTTGGCATTTTCTTCCAGAACAGGCCTTATCACACTGTGTATGCCACTACGATTCTTAAATCTCTCAAACCAACCTTTGCTGGCTTTAAATTCACCAATATGAGCACTAGTTCCAGGCATTTTTCCCTGTTCACCTGGGTGTTAGTCGACTTGTGTGGGTTGCATCCTGGGAGACAAGATTAAGGACCCCAATGGAAATAAGTTAGACAGTCTTCGATGACACTGACTTTTTTGGGTTATCCTGGGTGGCAAATCCTCTGGGGTTAATTGTTTCTTGGTATTCTCAATAAGCCACACCAACAACGGTGCTACAGCAGCAGCAGCAGCTGACGGTGGTACAGCAGCAACAGACGATGCTACAGCAGCAGCAGACGATGCTACAGCAGCAACAGACGATGTTACAGCAGCAGCAGCAGCTGACGGTGGTACAGCAGCAACAGACGATGCTACAGCAGCAGCAGACGATGCTACAGCAGCAACAGACGATGTTACAGCAGCAGCAGACGATGCTACAGCAGCAGCAGCAGCTGACGGTGGTACAGCAGCAACAGACGATGCTACAGCAGCAACAGACGATGCTACAGCAGCAACAGACGATGCTACAGCAGCAGCAGACGATGCTACAGCAGCAGCAGCAGCTGACGGTGGTACAGCAGCAACAGACGATGCTACAGCAGCAACAGACAATGTTACTGCAGCAGCAGACGATGCTACAGCAGCAGCAGCAGCTGACAGTGCAGCAGCAGCAGCAGCTGACTGCAGCAGCAGCAGCAGCTGACAGTGCAGCAGCAGCAGCAGCAGCTGTACCACCAATAGTAGCGATGGTTGATTGGGGTTTATTATACAACCTGGCCAGCTCGGAGACACGCACTCCACTTTCATACTTATCAATGATCTTTTTCTTCATCTCTATTGTAATTCTCACCCTTATTGCTGTAGGGTTGGCACTAGAAGCTTTCTTGGGGCCCATGGTCACTTATTTTCCAGAAAAAGCACCGAAAACACTGTAATAATACGAAATATTCCGATTGTATGCTTGGATGTTACCGCGGAGGCTGGCTGGTAAACAATGCCACCGGCGGAACATGTGAGCGTGGCTCAGGTCGCACATTGGACGCGTCTCGGACGAAAATCGGTGAGCGGGTTTTTAAGCGGTATGTGAGGCAAAATTTTGGCGATTAAAGCAAGCGGTATGCGGATTAATCGCTATGTGATGCCATCGGTATGCGGGGGTCCACTGTACGTATAAAGATACACAGCATATCCCTCCAAACTGCTAATATCCTGAACCCCTCCTTTAGAGTGCAGGCACTGTACTTCCCATCTCCAGGACTCAAGTCTGGCTATATAAAAATAACCGGTTTCCCTGAATCCCTTCACTAAATATTACCCTGCTCACACTCCACACATTACTTACCTTAAAATATTTTCATTCTTTGCTTATAGTTGGCAGTCAGTATATTTATTGAAGAATGGGTGTAATTGAAAACTGCTGCATTAGTGAAATGCTGTAAAGTGGTGCCCTCCTGTAGTATGTGGGGATGGTTCAGAGTGAGCCACCATTGTTTTTCATAAAAGTGGACAATACATTTGTTGAACAGTAATAAAATACTGTACACTATTACATAAATATTATAAATTTCTCAACTACTATTCTGTATGATCAGATTTCTGCAAACAACTGGTGGCCAGTGGCAACTATAGTGATGTTGATTTAAGTGACCCATCACTGAGTTCCGGCGATGACCGTGATAATCCTGACAAGCCTTTCAGCAACACTCGTCACCCCTTTAGTGTACGAGACACTAAGCCCATACTCATGAATATTCGGGTAAGTTCAACCACAAATGCTAATCAGTGTTTTAAAATATGAATGTTTTGTATGCTACAAGATGTCTAAAAATGAATCTACCAAAAATGAAGTTAATAATTTTGTTCCATGAGATAGCAACATAAATTAGAATACAAGTGCTAGGCCTGTAAGTATTGGTCTTTTAATATATTCATCTGTGTCATTAATTAATGATCTTCCATTTGTTTGTCATTCACTATAAACAATCTAATTCTGTGTTCAAATTCAGAAAAACAATATTTTCCAGAACTGCTATAGAGATTAACCCTTAAACTGTCCAAACGTAGAGCTACATTCACCTGCGCAGCGCTCCGAATATTTTGAAAAAAAAAAAAAGCTTTTTTTTAATTAACCCTTAAACTGTCCAAATGTAGATCTACATTTGCACGCGTAATGCTGAAACCTTGATTTTCTCCATAAGAAACAATGTAAAAAAAAGTAGATCTACGTTCGGAGCGCTATTAGAACAAAAAAATTTTTTCTAGGACCAGTACTTACCGAGATATAAGACCGCAAAGTTGGCGCTGGATGCTTACCTTACAGCAACATCAAGTCCTGCCACTTGCAGAAGTGTTGCCGATATACTTTTTTTTCTCGTTTTTATTTTAATTTATATAATTTTTATGTTTTGATAATTACAATTTATAATAGTTATTGTGATTTTACAGCCAAACTTTGTTCTGACACTAATATTATGTACTGAAATAGTACTCAGATAGTCACAATCACACTGAATATTTTCACCTGCCTTGGTCATTTTCTATTGTCTAGAAATAGATACCAAATATTTATCGGTCTCAGCAATGCTTTGGACAAGCTGGAGTATATACGAAACTGCTTGAGGCATGGTGGTAAAATGAGTGTCAATAAACTGCTGACATTGCAGCAGTAGAGTGACACTTCATGATCGTGCATTACTGCAGGGAACCCTGGCTTTATTTGTTTTCACTGTTACACACAAACATGTCTGTCTGTCTATCAGTCTAGTTCTGCTTATCTGTCTGTCTAGTTATGCTTATCTGTCTTTCTGCCTGTGTGTGTGTGTGTTTCTCCCTTGCTTGTCTGTGTCTCAGGGAGCGGCTCATAAACCTGTTGGTTTACGAGTCGCTCCCTGAATCCTGAGCAAGTGAAAATGCGTATTACTTGCATCATGCTTATTATGCCTTATATCTACAAGCATTGTATAGCACTTTGCCTGGGATTTTTGGGTTATCCTAGGTAATTTACACTATGTACTTAGTGTAACTGTGAGAGACAGAGATATAGACAGACAGACATAGACAGACAGAGATATAGACAGACAGAGATATAGACAGACAGAAATATAGACAGACAGAGATATAGACAGACAGAGATATAGACAGAGATACAGACAGACAGAGATATAGACAGAGACATACAGACAGACAGCCAAAATCAGTCAGCTAGCTAGCCAGCCACCCAGCTACCCACTCAGCTAGCCAGCCAGCCTGCCGAATATGTATGACATTCTGGCAGGATGACACTATCAGTGGTATCAGAAATGAAAGAAGGCTTCACAAATGTTGCGCATGGGTTATTATCGAGGTTTTTGATATTTCCTCAACCACTTGTGGCCACATCCATCTCAAAGCCACTAAACTCTGGGTCAACATCACTTTCCTCTTAAAAGGGGAGTGTTAATACGACATGACATCAGTGAATCCCTAGTGTTTGCCATGCTATTTGCTCTAGCTGGCACTCAGTTGAACTGGTGCTCCCACAAGGTACTAAGTGATCCCAGGTTTTTTTTAATACTGCACACACTGAGTGTTAAGACCCATTCTATACTGACTGGGCATATCAGGTCAATCATGCCAATTTTGAAGGAATGAAAAATAAAATATTGATCTACGCACTTGAACGTAGACCTACATTTGGACAGTTAAGGGTTAATGAGACAGCATCAGTCATACAGTATTTTCATTTCTTAAATTTAATAAAGGTGTTAATTTGGGCCATTTTAGTGGTTCTACCTGGGTTATTCAATTCTCTGGGAAAATTTAGTTTAAAAGCACCTTACCATTTCAAGCAAGGTGGGGCAGTATTTATTAAGAGCTGAAAGACAGCCATTTCTAACATGTCAGAATTTTCTTGGAATTTTGAAACAGAAAAACTTGTAGAATGTTGAGGTATGAATTACTATTGACACTTCATTAAAAAAAAAAAAAAAAAAAAGGTCCATAGATACAGGAATGTGACATGGTACACCAGAAACTTACAAGTCTATTTCATGTATTGATCTTCAGTCTATGCTCATACCTCATTTAACAAAATAGTTATTGAACCTTTGCTTTGGTAGATACATTTTGAAACTGCAGTGGACCCCCGGTTATCAGCTAACTTGGTGATCAGCCGGTTTTTCGGTGCCTGGTTATCAGCCGTTTGGGACGTGTCCGTCCGCCGGCTGGGGCCGCTCGCGCGTCAGTTTGGCTGTCTCTCTCGGTGGCTGAGGAAGCTTCTGCTCATACATCCTAACACTTCGCTTATTTCCCATTGTAGTTTGTGTTGTTTTTGCAGTACAACTGTGAAATAAGTAACCATGGCTCCAAAGAAAGTTCCTGTGATAAAGAAAGTGAGAAAAAACATGGAATTTAAGCATGAAGTGATAGAAAAGTTTGAGAGTGGTATGAGGGTGCTGAAACTTGCCATGATGTACAGCAAGAAAAATCAACAGTTACATCCATCCTGGCAAAGAAAGAACAAATCAAGGATGCTAATGTAGCAAAAGGAGTAACTTTTCTAACTAAACAAAGGCCACCAATAATGGAAGAGATGGAAAAGTTATTATTATTGTTGTGCAGTCGATTATTTGTGAGAAGGCAAGGTAGTTGCATGAGGATCTTGCAAAGAAAATGCCTGGAACAATTGCTACAGTTTATGAATTTAGGGCCAACAAAGGATTGTTTGATAGATTTAAGAAGTGTAGTGGCATACACAGTGTTGTAAGGCATGGTGAGGCTGCAAGTTCTGACAAATGTGCGGCTGAAAACTATGTTCACAAATTCCAGGACTATGTAAAGGCTGAAGGATTCGAATGCCAGCAAGTATTCAGTTGTGACAAAACAGGCCTGTTTTGGAAGAAAATGCCAAACAGGACCTACATTACCCAGGAGGAAAAGGCACTGCCAGGACACAAGCCTATGAAAGACAATCTTACTCCTGTTGTTGCGTGGTAATGCTAGTGTGGATTTCAAAGTGAAGCCTTTACTCATGTATCACAAATAAAATCCCAGAGTGTTCAAGAAAAACAATGTCATGAAGAATAGATTGTGTGTGATGTGGAAAGCTAATTATAAGGCATGGGTCACAAGCCAAAGTTTCAAAGAGTGGGTTAATGATGTGTTTGGCCCTAGTGTGAAAAAATACCTCCTGGAAAAGAAATTGCCACTCAAGTGCTTCCTGGTACTGGACAATGCTCCTGCACATACTCCAGACTTAGAAGACCAAGTGTTTAGGGACTTCAGTTTTATAAAAGTGAAGTTCTTGCCTCCTACACAACTCCTCTCCTCCAGCCCATAGACCAGCAGGTCATTTCTAACTTCAAAAAACTCTACACCAAAGCAGTGTTTCAAAAGTGCTTTGAAGTGACCTCGGACACTCAGTTGACCCTAAGAGAGTTCTGGAGGAATCAATTCACTATCCTCTATTGCATAAGCCTTGTAGGTAAGGCGTGGGAGGGAGTGACTTCCAGGACTTTGAACTCTGCTTGGAGAAAACTGTGGCCAGATTGTATCCAAGAGAGGGATTTTGAAGAGTTTGAGGCTGACCCTGACCCTGCCGACCCTGTTGATTCTATTGTGGCACTGGGGAAGTCGCTGGGGTCGGAGGTGAGTGGCGAGAATGTGGAAGAGTTGGTGGAGGACCACAAGGAAGAGCTAACCACTGAAGAGCTGCAAGAGCTTCAACTTGAATAGCAACAGACTGCAGCTGAAAACTTGCTTCAGAGGAGGAGGAAGAGGGAGTGAAGGAGGTGCTTTCTTCTGTGGTTAAGAACATTTGTGCAAAGTGGAATGATGTATGTACAAAGTTTTGTCAAGAAGTACCACCCTGACAAAGCTGAAACAAGCCATATCTGCAACATGTTTACTGACAAAACCCTGTCCCACTTCAGGGAAATCTTAAAGAGATGCCAGAAACAGAGCACTCTAAACAGTTATTTTGAGACAGGGGTCCAGTGACTCTCAAGCTGGTCCTAGTGGCATTAAAAGACAAAGAAGGGAAGTAACCCCAGAAAAGGCTTTGCTATCTAAAGTCTTTATGAAGGGGGATTCCCCTTCCAAATACTAGCTCCTCCCTCTTTCCTCCTCCCTATCTTCTAGAAGCCAGCATTAGCCTTCAATAAAAGTATGTAATATTTATATAATTGTTAAAAAAAATTATTTTTTTGTGAATATTTTTGTCTGGAACTGATTAATTGTATTTACATTAATTCTTATGGGAAATATTATTTCGGTTTTCGGCCATTTTGGTTTTCGGCCAACCTTCTGGAACAGATTACGGCCGATAACCGAGGGTCCACTGTATGTACTTGCATTTGCAAAAAAAAATAAAAAACTTGAAAGTATTAACTGTTCAGTCTTTTCTAATGCAGTAGACCTGTCTTGATAAAGGCTATATTATTTTGTACAAAAAATCGAGAGATTAACATAATTTAATTGTCATACATACAGTACTCGAGTATAGGTCGATACCAGACCTTTTGCCAGAACAGTTTTCAATTTGTTGTTCTAAATTTTGTGTACATTTTTTTGAGCTTCTGCCTCATTGCTCCTGTTACCAGCCACTCCTTCACTATGCAGTGCTGAATGACCTAATTGGGCTTAGCACTTAAAAGAATCAATGAATATTCACTTTAGCTTCCTTCTTTTTAGCAATACCTTGCAATACTAAGACATACTTTTAGACTTTGAGAGGAGAAACTTTCTCCAACCAGACAATGCTGCAGTGATTACCTAATA